GCGCTGGGGGGGGGGCGGCCTCCAGCGGCACAGCGCTTGGCGAGGTGGGGCTCGGCGGGGCGGCGCTTTTTTTTGCAGCAGAAAAGTTAGAGACGGCCCTGATAATACAATAAACCCATTGGGCTTCATTCTCTGCCCTTCCGATTTAACAGCTTTTTACACCCACTTTGTCCTTGTGTGAAACGACTGTAGGTGCTAAAGGGCACCAGAGAAACAGACCTATCAAATCTTATCCAAGAATGACTAAAAATACATAATGAATCCTGGTCCTAGTGACGTCAATGGTAATGTCCCCATTGACTTTAATGGAGCCAGCATTTAACCTCATGATGGACAGCACTCTAGTCTCAATTAAACTTTTTTATTTCAACGGTGCTTCCCATGGAGTAAAGTACTACTCAAAATGGGTAGCAGAACCCGACCTTATAGCATTTAAACTCTTTGATTCTTTAGGACATATTTATTGTCATCATTATTATGACTTATAATTAATTGTACTGGTTTTAATTATTTATTATCTACCCTCAGTTTGGATAATAACAGCCATTACATTTTTCACTTAAAATTAATGCCTAGTAGCAATTTTTTTCCTCGCAATACCACTTACTTTTAAGCCCTCACTATGGTAGCTCTGGGAGATACAATCAATGATTCCTTTGTATTTGTTTAAATAAACCCCATCAGCTTGAAGTCGACTTTTCACAACATCCATCGGAGTAGCAGTCCCCCAGGAAATTGCTCCTAGAAATAAGGAAAAGATAATTCCTTCCGTATACTGATGTGGTACAACTGTGCTGCGGTGATTATGACTGGAGATACGTGGGTAATAATATACTCACTGCTAGTGCATGCCTATACACACCCTTCTTTAACCCCACCCTGCTACCCCCACTAATTCACCACTCAGCTAGTGCATCCAGTTGGTGGCACTTCCAGAAAGGATGAATACACTGGAATGATAGTGTAAAGTAGCATTTCTGGCATCAACATGGCATTTCTGGGGGTAATGTACCACATTTCCAGACAAACTGTTTGAGGAACTGGTTGTCAGTGTAGCACAGGTAAGGAACAAGGTAGGTAACCAACTACAGGCAGATCAGAAGTACCCCTGTGTGTGTAGCTACTGCTGCAGTGCCCAGGACTAAGACTTGAGAAAGTATCACTTAATTCAAGTTTGTGAAGAAAGGCTCTCCCCCCACCCCCCCTTCTCCCAACCCCAAAACTTCCCAGGCTCCACAAGCTACAAAACTACAATTTCCAGTATGTTGCTAACAGAAGCAATTTAAAAATAACTGGAATCCTGGGGGTATATTGAAAAAGAGGGCATCGGGTTAAGAAGGTGTGTGTGGATGAGGTACTGTTTTAATCACATGGGGATGGACTGAATCTGAATCCTGTTGATTACTCCGCAATCGGATGGGATGTTTTTCCTGGTTGCAAAGCTCAATGGGGCTTACGTCGCTTATGACTGAGGTCTTCCAGTTACTCAGGATCTTGCTCACGTATAGAAAACCTAGTCCTCTATTTGCTCCCTTATTGCCTTTGGAATGTGATGTTTCCATGTTGAGAGATTTAATGGTTTAAGAAAGTCTCATGCATATTGATTCGGTATTATAATGAAACCTGTGGTCGTTCATGCCAGACAGTGACTGTGTGATTGGGTTGTATGGGGGAGATGGACGGACAGAACGTGCCTAGAGCTGTGCCAATGTCCTGACATACTAGAGAATTTGTTCAAATCAACCAGTGCTCTGTTTGTCTGCAAGTGAAACAGAGCCAGTGTGTTGTAATCATTACCCAGGCTAATAAGTAACTGTCTTCATTTGGGATCCAGAGATTTAGGAATTGTAAATAAATCATTAGCTAGTTTAAGGGCAATTTTGTAGATCTAAATGCATATATAAAAGTGGTAAGGGCCAGTATAAACAGAGAAAGCAGGCTTCAGCCTCCAGCACTGAGACAAGATTAACGATGACTCTCTTGGTTTTGCGGCTTCTCCTGCTGTGGATGCATGTTTATCCTTACGAGGTACATACAGGGTAATATAGTGCCTTCCAGGCTTATGGGCCACTCAGAAAGCTGAAAGGCAAGAGTGAACTGCAGTCCACTGACGCTGATACTAATTACACAGGCTTAGGGTTGATGCAAAGCCCGCTGGCCTCCCTGGGAGTCTTTCCAGTTATTTCACTGGGCTTTGGATCAGGCCCTTAGTGAGAAGAAAATAAAAACCTGAGGCCCCAATCTTGCAAGTAGTTATACAGGTGCTTAACTTTGCTCACATGAGCAGTCCCACTGTACACAGAAATCTTGTGAAATCCTGGCCCCATTGAAGCCAAAGGCAATATTCCAGTTGACTAGAAAGGGGCCACGATTTCATCCTTAGTTCATAAGTCACTGCATCAAAAGTAAAACATTAAAGGGTAATTCCACTGACTTCAACAACACTAGGCCTGATTTACAGCCATGTAAATGGGAGGAAAATGAGGCCTTAAAACACGGACATTTTATGATTCAGATTGATTGTTGCAGAAGAATATCCAGTGTATAGGTACATATATTGTGCCTCATGCACAAAGACTAAACACAATAAAGAAATCTTACTGGGCTAATAAAATAAGTGCTTTGGCTGTCCTGCTTTTCACTGGTTTTGGGTACGGCTAGGCTCCAACTAATACGACTGCTATAAAGTGTCTGAAGTTTAGACTAAGCTTCATATTCATTTGTTTCCCAACCTTGTGAAACAAAAATGACCATACCTGCTATACCTCCTGCCATCCACACAGAAGAGGGACTAGGAGATATGCATCCCTCGGGAGTAATCCAGCCACAGAGAACCGTATAAGGGATGAAGTATAGGCAATACCCAGGAACATCCCTCAGAAGCATTGCTCCGGCACCTCGGTACATTCCAGCTAAGCCCTCCTGCCGAAGGATTGAACTAACACAGTGAATTGGGCCTCTGTATGCGGGAAACCCAATTGCCCTGTGCTTTAAGTTTATGTTTGCTGCAAAAACAGATACAAATCATTTTAACTATACATACTTTGGGCATTCTCACATTTTAGTTTGTTTAACTTCCCTTATGTAGTTGCTCCTTTTAAAATTAATCCCTTGAAGTCTTTTCCTCTTTATTATTTAAGTTGAAATGTGAAAACAACCAGTGGGTAAAATTTTCAAAAGTGCTTAAGTGACTTAGGAACTTAAGTCCTGTGTTCAAAAGAGACTTAGTTATTCAGGGCCAGATTTCAAATGTATTTAGACACCTAAAGAGGCAGACAGGCATCTAGTAGGATTTTTTAAAATGCCTAAGCATGTTAGGTACCTGGGTACCATTGACTTCAACCCCACTTGGCACCTACTGACATCTTTAGGCACCTAAATCTGGCTATGAGACATAGGCAATTTTGACACCAAAGTGACTTGGGCACTTTTGAAAATGTTACCCATTTTTTAAATTAAAGCAAATATGTAAACTTCTTGTAGTTTCTATAGTATTGCTAATTAAATACCCAAAGCCCCCTTAATATTTTAATAACAGGATAGTTATTAAAGAAGCTGACAAAAGCCAGAAAACCCTAAGATTCAGAGTGCTTTGCCCTCCTTTGTGTGTGTTTTTTTTATTAAGTATTTTTTCCTCCAAATCAGAAATCTGTTCTGTATTGGAGATCAGCAATATAAATCTCATTGAATCTCTACCCAAAGAAATGGGATCATTATGATGCTGGCCTAGGCTAACTTGTGCCTGCCTGTGGATGTCCTGCCTTGGGTGTCATTTCCATCTGGTAGAAAATGTATTCACTTGGAAGTTTATTGCTACAGCTACCTGGGCAACTATTTTTGAAAAATATTTTTAATGTCACCATTCATTCCACTTGTGTATAATAAACAGATGTTGGCAGGATACCAGATCTCTCTTATGTGCAAACCTTTTGTGGATAAACACTAGAAATCAATTCTATAGGCAGTGATATAAAGTTATATATGCATCTATCATCTATCAGGTACATATATGTCAAATATTGGAATTCTATTAGAATGTTTATCATTCCCCTTAAAGTCTTCACAGTATCTCTTTGGTCTGTATATGTATTTCAGTGAGATTCAGTAGCACCTCAGAGTTACGAACATCTCGGGAATGGAGGTTGTCCCTAACTCTGAACAAAATGTTATTGCTGCTTTTTCAAAAGTTCACAATGGAACGTTGACTTACTACAGCTTTGAAACTTTACAATGCAGAAGAAAAATGCTGCTTTTAACCATCTTAATTTAAATGAAGCAAGCACAGAAACAGTTTACTTACCTTATTAAATCTTTTTTTCCCCTTATTTTTTTTAGTAGTTTACATTTAACACAGTACTGTACTGTGCTTTTTATTTTTATTTTTTTGGTCTCTGCTGCTGCCTGTTTGCGTACTTCCGGTTCCAAATGAAGTGTGTGCTTGACTAGTCAGTTTATAATTCTGGTGTTCATAATTCTGAAGTTCTACTGTATAGCTACAGATATACTCTCTCTCTCTCTGTCACACATCCTAATGAAATATATATATATATACACATATCAAAGAGAGAGACTGAAAAACTTATATTAAAGGAGTACTAGCGGCTAATGATAAGAATTTTAGTAGGACACTAATATTTGGCCTTTGAGTTCAGAACTCACTACTTACAATCAAAATCATTGTCAGACACGACAGCTTTCCAGGAGCTCAAACTATACTTTTATTTTCTGTCTCAGCTGTCAGCATTAATGATGATTCCAAATAGCTCTTCATTACAATAAATATATTAGGCCAAATTCTGATCTCTGATACACTGGTGTAATTGAGCAACAGAGTCACTGATGTTATTGTAGATACTCCAGATATACACTTGGATTAGAGAGATCAGACATTGGACATTCACTATGAGAGATTAGCTGAATCAGTCTTCTAGTACATCTGAACCTGAATGTTTGCAAAGAAAAGTTGTGTCCACGTAATTAGAGTCAGGAGATAATACATTGCTGGTCGTGGGCTTTTTTCCAAGTATTCCTATAGGCTCAGCAAGAAGGCAAAACTATTGTCTATTCTTCACATGTCTATTTGGGACCCTTTTCTTTGCATTTTATACAGTGGGTCAGTCGTGGTCTCTCTCTTAGCCCATTACCAGTGGCCTCTGGTCTGGAGCAAAATTCAACAAGTTGAAAAAGAAGAGAGAGAGAGAGAGAGAGAGATCACAACAGAGTGAATTAAAAGCCAGTATTTTGGGTGCTGTTCCTATAAGAGCTGAAGGTTCTAGAAAATCAATTACAATTTTTAGAGTGCCATGTTACTGCTGATTAACTCAGCCACACTGGGGAACTACATAGAAGAAGCCCACCTTCTAAAGAGCATCATTTGTTAATGCTGACTCAATCAGGCAGCTGACTGAAGTGATACAGCTGAACACCTGCCTTGAGTTAAAAAATAGACAATCACAGGAATACAAGACAGAAAAGACCTGTGGTCTCACCCAGCCCACCTCCTGCTTGTCAGCAATATGCCATAAAGCATGTGTTCTATTAGTATTTTGTCCAGGCTAGTATTAAATGTCCCAAATGAATGGCCTTTAACCATCTGTTGAAGTGATTGAAATGATGGCAGCACTATGTTCCAGAAAAAGTGATTTACGTCTCATGCCAGCATTGTATGGGAGACAATTCCACCACCTAGTGCATCTTCTTGCCAGGATGCTTTGCCTGATACCAGCTCAACTTTTCCCCTTCTGAATTTCATCTCATGAAGACTAGGAATGGTCTCAAGTGCCCAGTGTTTATACCCTTAGACAGTTATAGGGTATCAAATCCCTACTTATTTAAGTAGCTCTTCTCTGAACTGCTTCTTGCTTGTCAAAATCACCCTGCGACGCCCAGAAAGTAATGCAATGAAGCTATACTGATTTACACCAGCAGGGGAGTTGGCTCAAGAGTCTAGGTGCAATTGTTTCAGATCCAGAGGAAGGAGGGCTCCTTTTGGCTGACACTTGGACTTTCAGAGTCTGAATTCAGTGCTAGCCAAATTTAACTTCAGGAAGCTGCTTAAAGAGAGTTCTGGGTCTTAGAATTAAAACAATGTTTCAGTGATTCCATATACTCAAAGGCATAAAGCCATTTTGACCAACAGTTACCTTCATACGAGAACCTGAAGCCTGAAATCAGATTCCTGATGTAAATTCAAACTTGCCCTTTAGAACACCTAGTTCACTAAGATAGCCCATTGGTCATTTGCCTCAACTGCTTGCCTCAGCAAACATATTCCAATATTATACAGTTCCACCATATCTTTGAGAGATGACTAACCTAATCTAACCTAATCTCTAAAACAACCGTGGGCCTGAAACCCAAAATTTCCACATTGTTGACCTTACCAGGAAAAACATCAGAACTGCGTTTCTAAGTTTTCCATGCCTCAACAATAGAGATAATATCACCTAGGTTACCATGGGCATTTGCCATTATACTGTCATTCATAGCAACACATACTATGATGAACATCAAAGCCATGGTCGTGGATTATATTAATTAATAGTTAGACTGTAAATATTTTAAGTACCACAGATAGCCAGAGTCACTGCTGGACTCATGAAAAGAATATTCAGTTTTCAACAGCACCTTGCTCTTTTCTCCATTTTGTTTTTATCATCATTTGTATTTTGGTAATGCCGAGGCGCCCCAGCCATGGAGCAGGACCCCATTGTGCCATATGCTGTACAAATATAGAACAAAACAGTCTCTGACCCATACAGCTTATTTTTGGTGCTCAAAAAGTTGCAGGACTTACAGTAGCTGAACCCTGTATCTTTGAGGTTTGCCCACCCCTGCTGACAAAACGCCACCTCCCTAATACAGCAATCTCCTGGCCATAGCAATAGGTTTCCTTTTATATATAACACTTGTGTCGGATGCAAAGTACCTACGTGATATCTTGCCCTAGTTATTCCCAAGTTAAAGGGCACGGCATTTTCTCTACTCCTCAGTCACAGCCTCCTCTCTGGCCCATTCCTCTGAGATTTGCTAGAGCGGGGGTAGTTACAGAAAAACACCGCTGTTTTTTGTTGTTTTTTTTTAAACACCACTACAAGGATGGAGTACTTATTTATTTGTCCTAACTCATCCGTCCAGAACTCTCATACCCCTCTCCACAGCCCTTAGTCATTGACTTTGAAACCTTTATTTACTTGCACTGGGAAAAACAAGAAAAGAAAAGAAAAAAAAGGAACAAACTGTTTCTGTGTTTTTTATATATTTCTCTCTCCTCTGCTCTCCCTCCTCCTCCTATGTCACTCACACAATTTGGGGTCAAGGTGTAGGGCTCTCTCTTTGGGTGTTCAGACCATGCTCATTTTTATGAGAAACAGTTGACTCGTCCCTAACCAGGAGCATCTTTTAAACCTCTTTAGCCCCAGTGAAACATGTATCTTGTTAGGAAACACTTAGCTCCTTTATCTGGGGACACACAGTACAGCAAATGTTTTGCTCCTGGGTGCCTGCTCTATACACTGCTGGAACACGCTCAAAACTATGATCTAACAAAAACCACACTTCTGCTCCCCTTCCAACACCAGCTACCCTCTAAATATGGAAGTAAGTCTTCAAAGAGACCTAGTCACTGCTTCTCTCTGTGTGTCGACAACCCTTATAATTAAGCTCCCCAAGTTTCTATCACAGTTTTGCCTGCTCTCCCCAGCATAAACAGAAACAATTCAAGAAAATAACCCAGTGTCCTTTGTATTTGCCTTCCCAAATCTCAGCAATCATGTATTTGCAATGCCTCACATGCCAACTGAACCATCCTGGAAACAGACAGAATCTGGTCCAAGATTTTTAGAAATGAGTCAAGTTGTCATGGCTTTAATACCCAGTTATCTGTTGTTTCATCATTTCTGATATCTTTGTAATTTCGCAGCAATGACAGATCTCAGCACCTCTGTGCTCGAAGGTATTAACTGGATTAGACATATGGTCTCACCATTCTTAAGCATGCCTTCCCTCTCTGTGATGCATAAGGGTTTGGAATATAGCTTTTTCAGAACAGTAATGTAAAAATAATACAATGAGAGAGTCAAACACCCCCCACACAATGGGACTTGCACAGTCATTGGCACTATGATTCCTAAGGACCAAAGGCCGAATTAATAGAGCTATTACAATTCCTATGGTGAGAATGGAACACCAACCGTAGCAATTGTATTATCCTGGTATAGAACAATTAATTATGGGAAGTAGGAAAAGTTAAATAATTCAGAATTTTGGCAGCATTGAAGTCAATGGAAAGCCTCCAATGGACTTCAGATCAGGCCCTTAAGAAGTGTATTTCTATAATGATTTTATTTCTCATAAAAAAACATCATCAGGACATTCCCTATTAACCTAAAAAAATCTTGCAACTGCCTGCAGTGATGGAAAGCTTCTGACTGTTGAAGGAATGAAAAGAGGTGGGAATCATATTTATGAATCATGTATAACCAGAAATGCTTAGGCCTGTGGCAGGTTGCACATGGCAGCTTTTCAGGACCAGACACATCATTATCACCGCTTTTGGTTTTGAGAACCAAAAAAGTTTCTATATATAAAGAGCTGAGGGGAGGAGGAACTGGGACTTTGTTCCATACTGGGGAGGGATGGCAGGCAAAAATGTGCCATGTGGCTGTACTCCACTGATGGGCAAGAGGGAGAATTTGATTTTTCCCCCCCAGATAGAGAAGTCTGTTTACAGATAAGCTCAGCATCAATATTTTATGTTCATGATGATCGACTGGCACAAGGTTTTGCTTGTGAAAACTTTGTGTAATGTATATTTTGTAGAATGCCATGGGACTGAGTAAATAGTCTATGGGCAGAGGGATCAAATAGGTCCAAGGTTTCAAAGAGTGTCCTGCCTTGAAATAAAACAGGGTGAAGCCAAAGGAGTGGGAATAGTGCTAGAATTACTAACAACTACAATCTGAAGAAAAAAGAGTCTAGGTTGATCAGTCCCTTAGGGCAGCAAGCAAATTTAGTCTCGCCACCTCCCTCACACAGGAAAAATTGTGTCACTGATATTCTTGGCAAGCGGCAGGATTCAGCAAATACGAGTTCATTTGGTTTTGATTCCCCATTGGACTTCTGTAAGAGAAGTTCTCTGCCATGCACAGAAAAGTGGAGCATCATTAAATTCAGCAGTGGTTAAAAATATTCCACTGGATCACAGCCATACCCACTTTAAAAAAAAAAAAGGATGTAAAACCGAGGGACTGCAAAAATCTTGTTGTAGCCAAGTTGGTCCCATAATATCAGCGAGACAAGGTGGGTGAGGTAATATCGGTTATATCTCCTACCAACAGAAGTCGGTTTAATCAAAGATACTCCCTCACCCTCCTTGTTTCTCATAGATCTTTGTTGGTGTTTGTGAGGGATTGTACTTAACTGCTGCAGGAATCTGACTTAAGAAAACAGCTCCTGACTGATTTGATTGGAAGTGTGTTGGACTGGTTTTAAAATGCTCATTGCCAGGACAATAGCATCATTTGCTGCAGATGCGGGATGTTCTGAGGCGCAGTCCTTCCTCTGCAGGGTGGGTGTAACACCCATTGGGTCCAACAGACAGGAAATTCAGGCCCCTAGCATTGAACTGAGATGTCAAACCCTAAACCATGCATCTAGTTTGTCTCCAGGAAAGCTGCTTTCCTACAGTCCCAGGCAGTAGTAAACTTTCCTGAGAGAGGTGGAGTGGTGAAAATGGACAAAGGACAAACTAAATTTGTTAAAAATGCAGTTAGTTCCTGTCCAAACTTTTAATGTAAAAGGGGTTTCTGTGGAGATAATTCACTAGGACTTTATTTTTAACAGTCAGATGCAATGCCTCCCAATTTCATATATTTGTCTCCTTTGCAGATTGTGTGTGTCATCTTTATGAGTGCTCAGCTTTGGGCCAACTCTACTCCTATTGACGTCAATTTATCAGTGACTTCAATGGGAGCAGACTTAGGCCAACAAGGAGCACTTCCAAAAATCCCACCTTGAACTGCACTAAATGTGAACTAAATAACTGAGTGGGTGGCATGCTCTGGAGATACTTTGTATTGACCTAGCATACAGCACTGACCTAGTGACAGAACTGAATTAGAGAATTATTTTACCCTGAGAGTTCTGTTTTCCTGTAGCCTAGATTCTAAATAATGTGCTTGAAAATGGAGAGTTTTTTTAACCCACTTGATAAGCATAGTTGCTCTTCTTAACATTAATGGGAGTTATATGAACACAAAGGGTTTGAATATTCTCTTGCTTTCTGTCCCTAGAACTCCTAAGGACATCAGAGGCAGTTTTTGCCTATGGAACAAAGGATGAAAATGCCCATAAACTAGACTCCATCTTGCAGTCTCAGTTGCATTATACAATGCGTGCTTGTGTAGCAAATCTATAGGGAAAAAATATAATCACTCTCAACAGTGTGGATCTTAATGATAAATGGTAGGAGGATACTAGCATCATGAGTCAAATACTGTAGTCCATCATCAGTGCTTATTCAGGCAAAATTGCAATTGAAGCTTGAGTAAAGACTGCTACATAAGATTGTCACTTGCTCCACAAACAAACAAAAAAATCAGACTACACCTCTACCCCGATATAACGCAACCTGATATAACACGAATTCGGATATAACACGGTAAAGCAGCACTCCGGTGGATCAAAGCAAGTTCGATATAACACGGTAAGATTTTTTGGCTCCCGAGGACAGCGTTAAATCGGGGTAGAGGTGTATTACTGAAAACAAAGGTTACCCTGTGTCTTGGATGACTGTGCCTTTAGTACACTATCTAATATGTGGCTGATCACCTCTCTTTCAAGGCCTGGCTGGTGCAACTGCTGCAAATTAAAATCTTTCTGGATTCATTGCAGTTTATGAGAATCTTATGGCATACAATTTAATTTAGGGACCATGGCCCAGATTCTCTGTTGCCTTGCATCTGGCATAGTCAGTTATGCTGGTGCAAAGTAGTTGTAGAACGCATCCATTGGTGTAAGGGCCTGATCCAGATCCCACTGAAGTCAATGGGAGTCTTTTATTGGTTCCAATGGCCTTTTGATCAGGCTCTGGGGGATTGGAGAATTCTAATTGATAGTGTGTTTGCGTAAGTGTCAATAAGCACAATGGATGCAAGACGGTGGAGAATCCAGCCTTGAATCACAGATTCAATTAATCTGAGTATGCAGAAAAGGCTGAAAAACAACCCTTGCCTTCTTACCTTTAAAAAATGTCTGTGTCTGCATCTGTAGTCTTATCTTTATCAGGTCCACAGGCCCACCAATTCCTACCGAGACAACCCCTGCTACCATGCTGGCAACGATCAAGTCCGAGAGTGCCGGGGCATGGTTAGAATCTCCATAGCGCTGCTGGCTAATAAACCTTTGAGTATTGCTGAAGACACCAAATGTCACCGAGCTGTAGACAGCAATGCTGGCCAATGGGAAAGACATTCCTTTAAAGAATCCAACAACCTAACCATGAAATAAAGCAAGAGTTAAAGGAGATGTATCAATTTGATTATTTTTCTTAGTTGGTCACACTTCACAGTAAACCTTAGAATTCCATAGCCCCTGTGTGACACATGACCAGAAATGGTTAAGCATCCTGCAGGCTAAATAACCCAAATTCAACCCTTAAAAACATATGGGTAGATAATGTTTGTGTTTTTGTGTATTTACATATATATTGGTAGAGGTCAACAATGTAATCAAACAGTCCCTGTCTATGCTGTATTCTGTTAATTCAGAGATTTAAAGGACATCTTAACATTTAAATGAACTGTAAACATAGGTGTCAAGTATCAGTGGTGGCCGTGTTAGTCTGGATCTGTAAAAAGCAACAAAGTGTCCTGTGGCACCTTAAAGACTAACAGATGTATTGGAGGATAAGCTTTCATGGGTGAATACCCACTTCAGACGCATGCATGATCTCTTTGAAATGTATAGCAAATTGTCTGCGAATGGTGGAAAAACAGGCAATTGCTTTATGTGGATCTGTATGAATAATTACCAGCGATACTTAGGAAACGAGTGTCTAGTGTTCCCTGAGGAACTCTGAGCTATCACAAGAGAGCCTGAAATTTAATAAAAAATGGCTTGGGTCCTGATCCTGTCATCTCAGATTTGCTTGAGGCTTCATGCAGGGGAAGCCTAAGCCACAAGGACTGAGATCCCAGTGCTGACTGGACCACCCTGAATACAAACATTGGACTATTACTTATGAACTATTTATGAAAGAACTCTTTGCATCTACAAAGCTCACCATCTCTGCTGTGAATCTGAAGCTCAAGATTGTACTCATGTCTGTATGTATACTGATCTTTTAACCTATACTCCCCTTCTTTTCTTTCTAAATACATTTTAGTTTAGTTAATAAGAATTGGCTGTAAGCATGTACTTGGGTAAGATCTGGAATATTCATTAACCTGGAAGGTAATGTGTCCACTCCTTTGGGATTGGTAGAACTTCTTTTATATGATGAATATGATTTTCAGTAATCTTCATCATTTTTGACTTGGGTGTCTGGGTGGAGGCCTGAGGCTGGGTTACTTTAAGGGAACTGTGTTGCTGACTTCTGAGTAACCAGTGAGGTATATTAGAAGCTGTTTTGTGCTGGCTTGGTAAATCTAAGTATTGGAATATCCACCAGCTTTGGGGATTGCCTGCCCCATTCTTTGCAGTTCACCCTAATTGAGTGACCTCAGCTGGCTCCCCTGGGATTCCGGACACACCTTGCTATACTTGACTTTGCATATCTCCACTTCAATTCAGTTCCCCAGGAATTATAAGTCTGCTTTTGAATGGTGTGGGAAATTGATCACTCAATACTTCTCTTGTCATTTTTTAACCTATGCTTTCTTTGATCCTTTCATAGAGCTAATTGGATGTGAAATGTAATGCCCTAAGTAAGTTCTCAACAATTCTTTAACTAATGTCATGTCAGGCTAGCTAGCTAAAACCCAAGATGGATGTCAGACCAAAAATGCAAAACCTGAATAACAGATGTTTCTTGGAGCAGAGCAGTTGCACATTGTAGTTGAAACAATACACTTAGAAAATGGAAGCAAATTTAGGACACTGAGAAATTACTTTCAGTGCTTTTCACAGATTATGCAGCATAAGGGAATATTCTTAATACAGCAAAACTGGAGACATAGGAAAGTACTATAACTATTTAGGGCCAAATTCTTTCCTGGCATCACTCCATTGGAGTCAATGGACTGACACCAGCAGAGAATTGTGCCTGTCAAACTTCAAGGAAGAGATACTGCAGCTTGCAAAATGGTGAACATGGGAAGCTGAACCACGCACAGAAGAAAAGAGAGAGTCATGAATAATGATATGTTAACTATGCTGTACACAGAAAGCAGATGGTGGTACACTGTTAGTTCAGCATTATCAACCTTTCATTAGGTTGCCCCCCCCCCCCGCATTTATTATCATAAATTATACAGGTGGAAAACTTGCCCATATCCTAGTCCATATCCTGCCACACTATTCAGTCCTCACTAAGGCAAAACTCCCATTAAAGTGGATTAGACAGCACACTGAAGGTACAGCAGTGTAACACCCAAGGTAACCTTGTTTCTAATAATCATTTGGCTGAATGTTTAATGGGAGGTTTGCCCAAGTAAGGAATGCAGGATCGGACCATAAGTGTCATAAGACCTAAATCTGTGTCATGCTTATGTGCCAGTTTCTGTACTGATTTACACCCAGGCCATTCCATTCACTTCCATGTTGTCACGTGGGGACTAAGTCAACACAGAGCGTGGTCCCAAATTACCTTCAACAGGCCTGGCTGGCTGTTCTAACAATGCAGAATCTGAACAAGAGGGCGACACACCTTAGGGCTTGTCTACAGGATGCAGTACGGCACACCATGAATTCTAATGCACACCAATGTGTTGCATACTCACTTGCCCACGTAGACCTGACTGGCGCAAACTAAAAGTTCCCTATTGTGCATTTAACTTAGTATTGTTTGCAATGTGCACTAGGGAACTTTTAGTGCACGTCAGGGCCAGTGAGTGTGCAACATGTTGGTGCGCATTAGAATTCACCCCTCCCAGGTGCGCTTTAGCTCCCCATGTAGACAAGAGTTCGGCTTAGGAACAATTTTGGGTTTCTCAGTAAGAGTAACAAGAAAGGATCTTAGTCTGCTCCCAGCGAAGTCCAGGGAAATTCTGTGAGTGAGGTCAGTAGGAGCAGGATTGGGCATAAAGTCACAATCCACTTCTGCACTTCCAAAGTTTAGGCTCTAGGTCGCAGCTGTGTCAGAAGAGGTTGTTTGCCCTTCCACTCACAAGCAGGTTTATTCTGGGAGAGGGAAAAACAGTTTTCCAGAAATAAAAAGGAAATTAAAAGTCATACATGCCTGTGTCCTGCCCACTCAAAGGGGCCCAAAATCCTTAGGCACTTCCTTGAGGAGTCGTCGTCTCTCTCATAGGTCAGGGTTGGCTGGGGCAGAGGAGAAGGACAGATGCTTGCAGTTCTTCACATAAGGGCTTTGAATGCTATTGCACTGAATGCATGCTGTTTTGGAATCACTTTTAATATCTTTTTCATTTTCTATTCTGGCATGTTATAGACAAACCAAGGTACTTACACTTTCATTTCTGTACACGGTAAGGATACAATTAAGTGTATTTCCATATCCTTTTCCAGCTTGTAAACGAGTCTGCAAAATGTATTGATGAAATGTAATTGAAACAATGCGTTTTCAGTTCAGTGGAAGCTCATGCTATGCAAACAATGCACATTTTGATTTGACAGTAAATTATAGCTTTGCTCCTAGGACAAATGGGACAATAAAGTAAAATAAACACGCAGTAGCCCAGTTTGCACTGTGCCAGTGGCAGATCCAAACAGAACCTCAGAAGTTCGGGGCTCTTTGCTTCATCCAGAATCCATGATTGTCGTACTGGTTTGAAATAGGGAAAGGCAAGGCCTCCCAACTCTGCACAGATTCATTAGTACGTGTTATGCAGAATAATATCATTTGAAAACGAGACTATTGGCTACTCCAGAATGCAGTGGATTCTCTGTTACCTGAAGTCTTTAAATCAACATCAGATAACTTTCTGAAAGATTACTGTACGTCAACCAGAAGTTATAGCTTTTAATGCAGGAATCACTGGCTAAAATTCTATGGTCTGTGTTATTCAGAACTACAGACGAGACCATAATCGTCCCTTCTGGCCTTATGTTCTATTAATCTGTCAGTGGAAGCTTGACTATGATTTTAAGCCTTTTGTTATTAGACTTCAGGGGTGTAGCAGGTAGTTCATTCATTTACCATGTGTTCTCCGTTAAGTTAGTTGATATGCCTCAAAGAAACCTTGAATAGTGGGAAAATTTACCCTCTCCCCCAAAGCCCAAGTAAATGGCAGGAGAAGAAAACGAGTGCTTGGTTTCAGGAATTCAAACTGTCAACATGTGTTAGGTCATGGTTCCATGGCTTCCACATCAGCATATGTGTTTGAATCGGTGCCACAAACCTTAAACTCCCTCCACCGGGGATTGTGGCCACTAGATCATTGATCCAATGGCCTTGCCCCATCTGCAACTTAACTCTCATTGCTGGTGGAGCTGGTGCAGAGCCCAGCTGCACTTTGTGCAGGGTATCTCACCTACCTGCCCAGACCTGCAGCAGTTGTCCTGCATTGGGTGCCTTACGTGGCCCTGACAATGCTAGGTGAATTTCACGCTAGATGTCTAAATATTAAATGGAGCCAAGGCAATCATTCCAAGCCCCAGAAATATCTAACTTTTAATGAAAAAAAGGTGTTTTATACATTGCTCCAAACCAAGAGGATTTGTTTCTGGAAAGAGATATTTAAATGTTTTCTAAAAGGACCAACAGCAGTAATAAAACCCAGCACATTAACCATGACAAACCCTGTATTGTTTAACAGATATTTCACCTCTCACATATATAGCTCATCCATCAAGCTGCTTTCATGTTTTTAATAGAAAAAAGTCATTGCAATCAACTGACAAATTTTCTTAGCTTGCGGGTTTATTTTAGGGGAAATTCAGTCCCGGTTTTTTATCCTAATATCAAGAGCACTACCTCTTTTCCCCCTCTGTAAGTGGCTGCACAGAATGATGGCCTAAATGACCCTGTAGTGTTTGCATCCATCCCTTAAATCTACGATGACATTTTCCCCCTTGTCATGACCCCTCTGCACAGCATCCCCTATCTCTAGCTATCTGTGTCACCATATCCTGCCCCCAACGTATAGTCACAGTGCAATAATCTTTAGTATGGACACATCAGTAGGCGGTTTGATAGGAGCTCTCTGAATAACAGAACCAGGACAGTTTCCAAACTGTATTTCAGAAAAGAACAGTCAGCTACATATAACTGGCTTTAGTGGAGCTACACCATTTTATGCCAGCTAAAGATCTGGCCCAATTGTTATTTACAACATATAGAAAATTGGAATGTGTGACACTGGCAAGTTCTTCAGTTGGAAAGAGGTTTGAAAAAACAAACAAAAGCTTACATGAGTAATGTATCTCCAGGGCCGGCTCTAGGATTTTTGCCGCCCCAAGCGAAAACAATTTT